CAGTACTTAAGGACTAAGCAGCAGAACTAGTAACAATTCATTTGCTCTCTCAACACTATAATATTAGGGTGAAGCATATGCTTTTCCACAACTCTGATTCACCAGATCATTCTATTAAACAATTTTCAATTACTGATTCGAAAAGGCTGTACCATTATTCCATGCTAAGGCTATACAGCAATGCGTCTCTTCTCAGTTATAGAATAGCTATCCACACTAACTGCTGTCTTTTAGTTTTTTTAAAAAGACATAAAGTTGAGCAAGCATTTGGGACATGCAATAAGAGCTCAGAAAATTAGTCTTGAATAACCAGGAGCATGCCACTTAAAAAAAAATTGAATCCCTACAGTGCAGAACAGGACATCTCACCCATCTAGTCTACACCGACCCTCTGAAGAGCATCCCCACCCAGATACCCTCCAACAGCCCCACATTTACCCTGGCTAAACCACCTAATCTGCATATCCCTGGACACTACATGGAAAGTTAGCACGGCCAAGGCACTTAACCTGCATGTCTTTGGACTGTGGCAGGAAACCAGCGCACCTGGAGAAACCCACACAGACATGGGGAGAACATGCAAACTCCTCAGTCACCCTTTGCCGGAACTGAACCTGGGTCCCTGGTACTTTGAGGCAGCAATGCTAACTACCATGGGGCCACCCACCATACATGCTGGACTGACAAGCAACAAATTGCCCTTTAAACTGTTCTGTATGATCTAGTAATGAAAATACATTCCTAAACAGTCATGTCACGTTCTAGTCCTTAAGATGGTCTAAGCAAAATACTCAATGCCTAGTCAGACTTTTGCACCGGTGAAGGTGAAGGAAGAACAAGGGAATACTGGAGTTCAGAATTACACTGAGTTTATTAGCCAGATTTTCAGAATCTCAGGATTCCTTTGCTATTTAAAATCATTTTCCTTTGCCTCTGATATAGGGTTAGTATATTTCTAGATTATCTGTTTGCAAACAGTATTGAATTGATTGTGTGAATTATAGTATTTTCCAATGCTGAGCTATAAAGGCTTTGAAGCTGGAATTTGATGACAACCACAACGGCAAAAATGCTCAGCGCCAGAGAACTCAGTCAACTCAAAATGCCTTTCAAAACATGTACCTGAAATTGAGTTTTGCAAATGAAAAACTCGTAATATGGTAAATGAATACACGAATTACTAAGTGAAAAAAAAACTTCAGACCATCTAATTCACAATGAGACAGAGCCCGTCATCAACTATTTGATGGAAGATTCATATCAGTTGAACAGACCAATGACAAGAAAAATAATACAAAAGGAACTGAAACAGCACAAGGACTTAGAAAGGGACCAATGAGCAATAATACACTCAGCATGTGCACAATTGAGACAAAATTATGGAAGCATCATTGAAACAGCAAAAAGATGCTAGATACCCAGCTGAAATAATACAGAACTAGTACACTGAGCAGAACACGCTCTGCAGTATGTTACAGAGGGACACAGATAAGCTGCAGAGCTGGGCTGAGAGGTGGCAAATGGAGTTTAATGCGGAAAAGTGTGAGGTGATTCACTTTGGAAGGAGTAACAGGAATACAGAGTACTGGGCTAATGGTAAGATTCTTGGTAGTGTGGATGAGCAGAAAGATCTCGGTGTCCACGTGCATAGATCACTGAAAGTTGCCACCCAGGTTGATAGCGTTGTTAAGAAGGCGTACAGTATGTTAGGTTTTATTGGTAGAGGGATTGAGTTTCAGAGCCATGAGGTCATGTTGCAGCTGTACAAAACTCTGGTGCGGCCGCACTTGGAGTATTGCGTACAGTTCTGGTCACCGCATTATAGGAAGGATGCGGAAGCATTGGAAACGGTGCAGAGGAGATTTACCAGGATGTTGCCTGGTATGGAGGGAAGGTCTTATGAGGAAAGGCTGAGGGTTTTGAGGCTGTTTTCGTTAGAGAGAAGAAGGTTAAGAGGTGACTTGATAGAGACATACAAGATGATCAGAGGATTAGATAGGGTGGACAGTGGGAGCCTTTTTCCTCGGATGGTGATGGCTAGCACGAGGGGACATAGCTTTAAATTGAGGGGTGATAGATATAAGACAGATGTCAGAGGTAGGTTCTTTACTCAGAGAGTAGTAAGGGCGTGGAATGCCCTGCCTGCAAAAATAGTAGACTCGCCCACTTTAAGGGCATTTAAATGGTCATTGGATAAACATATGGATGATAATGGAATAGTTTAGGTTAAATGGGCTTCAGATTGGTTTCACAGGTCGGCGCAACATCGAGGGGCCGAACGGCCTTTACTGCGCTGTAATGTTCTATGTTCTATGCTCTATGTTACATGTTACTATGCATTCAAAATCCAACTATGAATGCACTGGTAAGAATCAAAATGCAGAGGGAGGTATTTCTGGAAGTATAGGCATCCTTGGAAAGGCTATTACTTATTACCCATTTCTAAATGCATTTGAAAAAGGTGGTAGTGAGTCACTTTGAACACCCTAATTTATTTAGCATTGGTATATTCAGTGTTTCAGTGGTAGTTTCCCCACTTCTGGACTAAAAGGCCTAGATCAATGCCCACCTGCTTCAGCTATGTATCATACTTCCCCGAACAGGTTGATTAAAATAACCTTATAATCTTCAGAAGTCTGTACATAAACATACTTCCAGCCCATAAATCTGATTCCATGCCAACATTTTATGTAAATATTTATAATGGAAAAACCCCACAGAAACATAGCATTTATAATGAAAATTGCAGAGGAAATTGTGAATATTTCATAAGTGAAAAACATTGCCTCACACTTTGATTTATTCAGTTAGTGTCTAAACAAATTTCCATTTAAAAAATTTAATTGTATCTTCAGGAACTGAAATTTGTACAATACTCATAATAATATTTTTTAAAACTTCAGCAAATTTCTAATGCCTTGGCCTTTTAATAGAATTTTTTAAAAAAACTTTTGAATAATTCAGAGCATATTATTCCATTTAGTCCCCTATACAAATTTTGAAGCCTTTACTTCAAACAAGTGAAAACACAAATTAAAGATGTTGTAAACTGCTTAGTCAGATAAAACCTGTGATCAACATTTGGACCTGCAGTTTGTCTTAAACATTAAGAAGAAAAAAAAGTTAACAAAATGTCCCCGAACCAATTTTAAGAGCTAAATTTTCTGATATTAAGAAGTTGAATATTATAACGTATGTTTTTAGGTCATCTGTATTTATGGAAATCAGCTTTTTTATAGAACATTTAAGTTTAAAAAACAGAACAGGCAGAACTGAGGAACAGTGGAAATGTAGCTGAATTCGAGACTGCACAAAATGCAGCATGTGATTTTCTTACATACTTGCGTTTAAATAGGATTTTAAAATCAGATTATTTATAGGCAGTTCCATTCACTGTCTCTACCATCTTCAAAATCTAGAAGCCTGGTGACTGGACACATCTACATGACATTTTTTTCAGAATTCCCAGCTTCATACACGTGCAAATTGATGAACCAGTCATCAGAGTCAAGGAAAATCCACTTCTGTGACCTCCAGTTATAGGTTATCCTTCCGCTAGAAGGATTAGATTCAAACCCATGGCACCATACCACAGCCACATTACATTCAAATGAGATATAATACTGGTAAGTTCCAACTAACGTGGCTCTCAAGCAAATTTTGATATCATGTCACAGTAAGGTTATCCAAGGTTTGTTCTTTGTCATCCACATAAGGTAATGTTAAAGTCTTGGAGATCACAGCTACTGATGAAATGGCAGATCCACTCATTCATTTTTACACTTCAAAATCCTGATACCAACATCTCACTGCTCCCATTTATAATTTATTCAAAAAGGGGAATGCACATAGAGGTCATGATTATCCTATCCCAGTGTAGGATTATTTTTGAACAAATTAGAAAATTCAAGTTAGATTCTAGCGCATAGTTTGTACACATTTACAGAGAAATATACCCACTATACTCATTTTAAATGAATGGAAGTAACCTACGCGAGGGTAAGTGCCCATTCAAAGCGTTGTGCCACATACTAATATCGGGTTTGTAAATACCTCACCAATCGACTGTTGCAGGATAACAAGTAAATCAGAACATGCTCTATTTTACATTAGCGATACGACATAGCAGTGAACTTAAAACTATTTCAATCACAAGTCACATATTGCAAAAATCTACATAACAAACTGCGTAGGCGTCACTTTTTAAAATCACCTCAGAACTTTCAGATTACAAAAGAGTAGTTAAAGTACGTGAACGGAAACGTGCAGATGATTTCAACTAGATCTGCAAAAACATGAATCATTTCTAGCCCAATAAATCTCAACAAATTAAAACAATTACAGTTCTCGCACTATATCTGAAACTCGTAACAAGAGTCGGGTCCACGTAGAAAAAAAAAGTTACACAAGACGTGCATCAAAGGCGTGTGTCAACTGAGGCTTCCAAAAATATATTGAAGATTACCGATAAACAGAGGAGTACACTTACAAACGTTTAACAGGATATAAAACAAAATTAGAATTTGCATTGATGGGATGACTAAGCATCCGCTCATGTATAGCGTCCTGATTTAGCCTATTTCAATGGAGCAGAAAGCCACTGTGGAGGGGAATAAGAGGCAGTTTCTAAAAATGGAAAGCAACCAAAAAGGGGGGCCCGGCATTCAGAGCAATTGCAAATTCCACTACACTCAATACCCCAGCTTGGAGGATGGGTGCCTAGGGGTGCGCTGAAACAATTTTTAGAAAGGAAGAAAGCTCTGAAGTTTCCTATTCCCACCCTCCCTGGTTGGGAAAACTTCAGGCGCCCGCCCGCTCCGGGGGTACCTGCCAGCGGCGCGCATGCGCGGTGGTGCGCCTAGTCCAGTCCCCGGCCGTCGCTAAGGCGATTGCCCCGGCAACACCCGGCCTTTCGCCTGCCCTTTCCGACCCCCACCCCCTCCCAAGGAAAGGGGAAAAAGTGAACGAAATCAGATGTGAACACAACGGCATTCCTGTACCTGCCCGTTAACTCCATAAAGCGACAGCACTCTCGTTTTTTTTTTTCCCCCCTCTGTCCCTCACACTGTGACTAACTGCAAAAGAGACCGAGCGCAGCTTTCGACCGCACCGGAAACCAGCCTTCTTAGTAACGGAAGTGATGTTGCCGCTAGCCGCCGATCACACGGTATCCCAGCAACAAGCCACGCCCACCTGTAAACAAACCCGGAAAGCCACCTTTCTTCCCTGGCCCGTTACAGCATGGAAACAGATCCTTCGGTTCAACCAGTCCACGCCGACCATGTTCCCAAATTAAACTAGTCCCACCTGCCTGCGCTTGGCCAATATCCCTCCAAACCTTTCCTTTTCATGAACTTACCCAAACGCCTTTTAAACATTGTAACTGTACCTGCATCCACCACTTCCTCTGGCCGATCGCGCACAAGCCACTGCGCAGAAAAGTTGCTTCTCATGTCCTTTTTAAATCTTTCTCCTCTCACCTTAAAAATATACCAACTAGTATATTGAACCCTAGGGAAAAGACCCTTGTCATTTACCTTATCCACACCCCTAATAATTTTATAAACCTCTGTGAGGTCACTCCTCAAGCTCCTACGCTCCAGTAAATAAAGTCCCAGACCTTCCAGTCTATTTTTATATCTCAAACCCTCCAATCTTGGCAACATCCTGACAAATATTTTCTGAACCCTCTCCAGTTTAATAATATCCTTCCTATAACAGGATGACCAGAACTGCACACAGTACTCCAGAAGAGGCCTTACCAACATCTTGTACAACTTCAACACAACGTCCCAACTCCTATACTCAAAGATCTGAACAATGAAGGCAAGCATGTTAAATGCCTTCTTAACCAACCTATTTACTTGTGACACAAATTTCAAAGAATTATGTACCTGAATCCTTAGGCCTCTCTGTTCTACAACACCATCTAAAGCCCTACCATTAGTTATATAAATTCTGTCTTTATTTGTGTTACCAAAATGCAGAACTTCACATTTATTCAAATGAAAGTCCATCCATCACTCCTCAGCCCATTGACCAACTTGATCAAGATCTCCTTGTAATCTGTCCACTAGACCAACAATTTTGGTGTCATCTGCAAAGCTCCCAGACCAATGTAGATGGAGGATCACTGGACTAATTAACCCAAGGGCAGTGAACAGTAAAATCACTATAGTCTTGCCAGAGCAGAAGGCTGCTCTCTCACCATAGAGTGGTGATGGTTTAACCTGAGGGTAACCACACATCAGACATGGGGAAAGGTTGAGAAGGAGAGTCCTTCATGGTAACCTCAGCCTATTTGGGAATTGAACCCATGCTGTTGCTGTCACCCTACATCACAAACCTGCAACAAACCATCTGAGCTAACCAACCCCAGTTAAGACAGGGATAACAAGGTGTAGAGCTGGATGAACACACTGATGCTGCTTGGCCTGCTGTGTTCATCCAGCTCTACACCTTGTTATCTCAGATTCTCCAGCATCTGCAGTTCCTACTGTCTCTGAACCAGTTAAGACAGGATCTCTTTGTTGGGATCTGGAATCACAAGTAGGCCAGACCAAGTACGGTCAGCTGATTTCTTTCTCTAAAGTAGATCAGTGAACAAGATGTTTTTTTCTTTCCCCACAATAATCAGATTCTTAATTCCAGATTTTTATTGAATTCAGCCTTCATCTGCCACAGCAGGATTTGAGCCCATGTCACCAGAACATTACTTGGCTGGATTAATAGTTTAGTGACAATACCACGACATAGAGTCCCTATGTGCAGAAGCAGGCAATCTGGCCCATTGAGTACACAGCAACCTTCCAAAGACCATCCCAGCCAGACCCACACCCCTACCCTACCCCTGTAACCCTGCATTTATATCATGGCTAATCCACCTAGCCTGCACATCTTTGGACTGTGGGAAGAGAACAGAGCACCCAGAGACATAGGGAGAATGTGCAAACTCCACACAGTCAGACACCCGAGGCCGGAATCAAACCCAGGTCCCTGGCACTGTGCAGCAACGGTACTAACCACTGAGCCACGGTGCCACTGAACATCATCACCTCCAGTTTGTTGATTTAAACCAGACTCTCTTGAAAGTATACAATTAAGAAGGGACAGGTATTTCAGGTATTTGTGACTGAAAAATATTGGGCAGGGGTGAGGCAAGTCCAATGACAGAAATCACTGAAAACTCAGCAGATCTGGCAGCATCCGTGGAGAAAGAAACAGAATTAACCTTTTGAATTCTAAGGTTCTTCTTTGGAACAGCTCAGAAGAAGAGGCAAATAAAAACAAAATACTGCTAATTGCTGGAAATTTGAAACAAACATACAGAATGCTCAACAGGTCTGGCAGTGTCTGAGAGAAACAGTTGTCATTTCCGGTCCAGTATTCCATCCTGAAGAAGAGTCAGACTGGCCTTGTAACATTAACTCTGTTTCTGTCTCCAAAGACGCTGCTAGACCTGCTGAGTTTCTCCAGCATATTCTGTTTTCACTCCAGATCTCTAACATCTGCAGTTTTTTCTTTCATTTTCTTAATAAGCAATGTGGTGAGAGGTTGATAGGGCAGTGTAGGCAGGAGTGTGGAGTAATCAGAAAAACTTGATTTTCTTGAATGGTAGACTAAGCTTAAGGGAACAAGTGGTCTACCTGTGCTCCTAATTCATAGATTTGTACTGTGACTCCTAGAATTTACCAATACATGAGTTGAAAGTATGCAATTGAGAAAAGACAGCTTAATGTGTCAGGTACTTATGACTGAGAAGTGAGATTTGACATCAGAGTGGGGAAGTCCAGTTACACAAAGACACTAAAAAAAAAATGGACAACTTCATTCAAGGCTGAGATAGACTGATTTTTAATCAGTAAGGGAATCAAATGTTATAGGGAAAAGACAGGAAAGTAGAGTTGAGGATTATCAAATCAGCCATGATCTCATTGAATGGTGGAGCAGACTCGAATGGCTGAAGAGCCTACTTCTGCTTATGATCTTACGATCTTTTAAGTCAAGAGGCAACATTGTATAAACCAGTCTTGCATTCCCTTGAGAAGACTAAGGTTTGATCTAATAAATTAATCAAAGAAGTTGATAGGGTGAATGATGGGAAACTACTTCTTCTGAGGGAGTCCAGAACAAAGGGACATTGACATTAGAGTTCGTACTTGATTAGTCAAAGGTGACATCAAGAAGCATTTCATCACACAAAGTGGATTAGAAGCCGAAACTTCCTTCTCAAAACAAGTTGTTGACACAATAGAAGATTTCAAAACTGAGATTGATAGAAATTTGTTAGCTAATGATGTCAAAGGTTATGGAACCAGAATGGGAAAATGGGGTTGCAATATCAATCAACATGATCTGATTGAACAGCAGAACAGGCTTCACAGGCTGAATGCTCCCCTCATTCCTATGGGGATATTTTCTATTCAGTCTGTTCAGAGATGTTATCACACACCTCCAGAGCAGGTGAAACCTGAACCTGGACCTCCTGGCTCAGAGTTAGGGACACTGCCATTTGCCACAAGAGCCCTCCTGACTAAGTGGTATACTCAGAGCCTGTTCCAATTTTTTGTTCCACCAATCAGTGTCGACTCCCTAACTGCTTCAATAATATTTGGTAATATACCCCCAGCCCCAGTGCAAAACTTTATGCAAGTGAGGGAGGGGAATACAGGCAATACATTCCAAAAATATAGTCCCCAGTCTAGGACTGACATCTGGAATTCACCATACGTAGTTAACACTTGCTAGCCTCCTAAGCATGAGCAAAACAATAAATCCATTTACAATAAAAATGCTAACTTGTCTGGAATTATTAAAAATATCTTTCTATTATTTGGACACACAGCCATGAAACTCATGTCATATACTATTACACAGTGTTAACTCATCGACATATACAAAAGAAAACATGAAATTGGACGTTCAATTACTAATTTATGGTCATAACCTTTAATTGTAGGGAAATGACCCCAATTGTAAACCAGGGCACTTTATACTGCCTGTACATAAAAGGTTGTGTATGTGGAAATATTCAATTTTGGGTTACTTTTTAGTGGCATGATTCATTGGTATATATAAACACAAGTTGTTGTTGTGTGAAATTAGTCAGGGGCTGTTCTACAACATTTGCTGGCATCAGGTCAACCCAGGCATAGATTATGAATTAAAATAGAGATATTGAGAAGTGTTCATGGTTATAATCAGAAACAGAGCTGCCCTCACTTTCAAAATTTACTTCTAGTTATCTTAAATGGCTCTTGTACTGTGAAGTTGATTAGCAGGCATGAAGACCAAAGAAGTAAAGTGCTGTGCTTGTTCACAATGTTATCAGAAAACGTGATGCTTCAGAACTGCTTTGTGTAGTCTGAACATTGCATTGTCCAATGTTATGCCTTGAATGTGAGGATTTATGAGGCCTGGCAGGTCAAAGGACAGGCATATGCTGATCTCTCGTTTCATAAGAATTCAATTTTAGGTGCATCATTTGTTTTAGGTCAGTTAATTGAGTAAAATGAGAGGCATTGCATTTGTGAGCAGCTACTGTCAGACCATTACTTTTTCACACATTTCTGAGGAAATAGTGAGTGGGAAGTGGAAATTTTATTTATACATTTTTTGCAACTTGTATTTGAAAACACATTTTCACTTAATTTAGAAAAAAAAGTAAATATATTAATTCAAAGCACTTTTTCTCTTAGTTTAGAAAAAAGTGAATTAATTAATTCAAAACATTTAATCCATTCAGCAACCATGCAAGTTTATGTATCTAATCACTGCGTCCCTGGATGAGTGATCCAAAGGCCCAGGCTATAGCTCTGACAAGATGGATTCAAACACCACCACTGCTGCTGGTGGAATTTAAATTGAATAAATTTGGAAATGAAAGCAGGTTTCAATAATGGCGACCATGACCATCATGGTCAGTTGCATTGTATTGTATTGCCATAGTCTTACCAGACCATAGCACTGCTCTCTCATTACAGATAGATGACTGGTGGTGATTTACCCTGAGGGTCACCACACCTCAGACAAGGGGACAGGTTGAGAAGGAATTGAGGAGAATGGAGCCATGACATTGGCATCACACTGCTTCACAAACCAACCATCCAGCCAAC